TTGACGTGCTTTTTCAGGGGTAAGAAAGGCTCATGATGACTTTTAAAAGAAGTCGTGTCACAATCACCACCTTCAAATTTCTTTTGTGTTTAAATTATAAACTTGTCTTTGGGATTGTAAACTTTGGTTATGATGTTTTTAAATTTTAAAATGTATGGTTGTGTTACTTATACTCTATCGCTAATGAGACTCTACCTGCCATACCTCGCGTTTCCGCTTTAGCGGGGTGTGACACCGACAATTTCGATTAAAACCCTAAAATGAAATCGAAGGAGATCTGATGAATAATCTTACAAAAGTAGTTCCTAATGCTGCAGATTACCAAAATGAGCTCCTTGTCTGGGTTTGTAAATGCAATCGGTACAAAAACAGCAAACATATGCAATCGATACAAAAACAGCAAACAAAATGCAATCGATAGAAACAACAAATAGATGCAATCGATACAAAAGGGGAACGATTCTGTCCAGCAATCGACGCCTTTGTGAAGGGGAACGATTGAAACCAGCAATCGATGCAATCGACGCCTTTGCAATCGATAGAAACAACAATCGATGCAATCGACGCCTTTGTGAAGGGGAACGATTGAAACCAGCAATCGATGCAATTGACGCCTTTGTGAAGGGGAACGATTATGTCCAGCAACCGATATCGCTAATTGAAATCTGCCACCGATTGAAGGGGAAGAAGGGTGCCGATTGAAATCGATACAGTCGATTGAAATTGATACCACCGATTGAAGTATACGGTGGAAGCGAAGAAGTGTTTTGAGAGGGTAGATAGGTAAAATATTTCTTGTTCTATTTAGTTCCAGGGGGTAAGGGTGGACAGACGTGTCCCACCCGTGCTCTAGCTAGTTCTAGTGAGTCCCACATAAGGCCACACCAACCATAGGACAATTGTGTTCTGTCCTGTCCCACCCTGTCCAACATACAAAACACACCCTAACGAAACATAAGATGTAGCAGTTAAAGCATAGGATATTGTGTGGCCTTTTAAGATTTCAATGATAATCGGATATTCAGAAGGCATTTCAAGGTTTAGATGGTGGTTATTTGGTTTGAGGTCAAGATACATGGTAGTTGGAAAAATGGCTTCATCAGGATCAGGGATATTTACTGACTGGGAAATTGATGGTTGTGAAGATCTAACTGATGGGATAGGGCGTTCATCATTAGAATTATGATGTTTTGCAGTCGTCATTTTTAACCTGTAAGAGTTAAAGAATATTAGATCCATAATGAAAAAATATTTCCAACATATTAAGATAAATTTTCTCAAACTCACTACCAACACAAAAAAATTTGACAAAGATTTTATTCACACCTCGCATGACATGAAAATTTTGTTCAACACTAAGCTCAACAAAACAAAAACACAATTTTTTTAATAAAAATCACTAAAAACATGTCATTTTTTTAATAATCTCATTTGATAAGACGATATTGTCTAATGATGTGCTTGGATCATTAGTGCCATCTATGTTATTATGCATGTGCTATAGCTCCATTGTTACAACAACATTATATGACTTATTAGGAACTACTCCTACATGATAGACAAATATCTTAATCCAAATGATCTCCTTAGTTGCATTTGATAATGTGATGTGTTCGAATTTTGTTGTAGAATCAACTATGATCTCCATCTTGGAACTACTTCAGCTTAGAAGACCAATCATTTCAGCAAACACAACCCAACCCATAATGCAATCGGAAATAATCTTAATTGATTTGGAAGCTTGCTTTAATGAAATCCTTTAAGCTCAACTCCTCATTTTCGCCATATAAAAAATGAATCACTAGTTGTTTACAGTTAATTTGATTTATTTTTGACGACAATTTATTGACTATCACCAGGATTATTTTGGTATTTGTCTATCATGCTCAAAGCCTACTATACATCCAATTTTCAAAGCATATGGAATCTTACCCATTCGCTCACTTTTTTGAGGCATAGTGGGATATTGTGTCTTAGAAAGTGAGATAACATGATACATCTTGAACTATTTCAGTACTTTGTCTATGTATGTAGGCATGGCAACGGGGCGGGGTTTGCAATCCCCGGCCCCGGCCCCGGCCCCGGCCCCGGTTTATAGCCATAGTCCCCGGCCCCGGCCTCGGTCCCCGGCGGGTACCGGGATTAACTTTTCGGCCCCGGTCAAATTTTGGTCAACCCACGGTTAACACCCGGTCAACCCCGGTCAACAAACCCGTACCAAGACCAGGTAAAATTAAAATTAATAAGAACCTTAAACATTTTTCAAGATGAACTCAATTATACATATGCTGTCATACAGAATACAGATGCTATTACACAGATGCTGTTATACATACATAACTCCATTATAATCCCTCCATTTCAATCCTCTAGTGTTTCCAATTTAAAATTGATACATACAGATGCTTGTTGTCATTCTTATAAACTTTATTGCAAAACCAAAATTATGTATGTACTGTTTAGGAAAGAAAGTTATTGCAAAACCAAATTCTTATGAACTTTATTGCAAAACCATATTCTTATGAACTCAAAGAACTCACATCAATTCTGAAATTAGCAAAACCAAATATATGTATGTACTGTTTAGGAAAGAAAGTTACTGTTTGATGAAAAAGACTAACCGGTGGCTCACTGCTCACTGCTGCAAATTGATGAAGAAGACGACTAGGGCGAGGGTTGTGACTGACGAGGACGAGGGTTTGGTGTTGGTCGATTACTCGATTCAGACGATTGAGAGTTTGAGTGTTGGTCGATTAGACGATTACTCCTCGATTGAGTCGTGGGTTGTGACGAGGACGAGCCGATGAGGGTTGCGAGTCTTGTGACGCTAGTCAATGGCAACAACAGTCAACAGCAGTCTTGTGTGGTGTGTGCGGTGAGCCGACGACTCGACGAGGGTTGTGAGCCGACAAGGGTTGTAAAAGGGCGGAGGCGGACAGCGGTGCCGGTGAGCGGACTGGTGATTGTGTGATTTGTGAATGAGAATGAGTGAATCATACAGGTACTCGTGTTCGTGAATCGTGTGTGTGACTAATGATACCAAAAGCCCAAAGCCAAAGCCCAAAGCCCAAATATGAAATATGAAATAGTCAATATACATATACCGGGTACGAGACGGGTCGGGAGATACAATATCCGGCCCCGGCCCCAACCCTGGTTTGCCTCTACCGGGAATCCTCGGCCCCGGTATCCGTTTTAGCGGGGAATCCCCGTCCCCGTCCGGGTCGGGTGAACCGGGTTCCCCCACCGGGTCGGGCCAAATCACCATTCCTATATGTATGTACTATGACTCATGAACAATTTGTACAATCTATTTCTATCAATCCGGTGTTGTGTCTACTAAACATTTCTCAAAAGTGTATTATAAAAAAACATAATATGATACTTTATTTCAAAAATCCTTAAAACTTGTTAGGATGACCAAAATCGCTCTATAAACTTTTTGCAACACCTTTCAATTAAACACACAATTGTTAGGTTTTATAAACTTAAGTTATATAAAACAGTCTATTAAGACGTTTAGACATGTTTGACGTTTAAGTCAATTTTTTAGTGTCTCCAAAAAACATAAGAAATGAGATGACAATAACAAACCCAAACACAATGTAATAAAGATCTAGTAATGAAAACAATGACCACATAATCGAGGATTAAACTTGATATCACTACCTACCATGTATATGTATATATATATATATATATATATAATACTCGTAGTGTATATCAACAAAGGGAGTGATGGCTTATTTTTTTATTATTTATTAGTCAAATTGAATCTTGGATGATTTAGTGACATTCGAGATAACAATCTAGATATCTTGTTTTCCATTAGATGTAAGATCGAAGTACATGTCAAACGTTAACCCTGATGTTCTCAATCTATGAAAATTAATTGCACTAAAATGCTCGATCAATTCCTGGAATACATGGCTAATTAATTAGCATTACAATCAAGGATCAAAAAATGTGGATGATTGAAAGGAATATAAATCCACTGTCCCAAAATTCTGTGTTCCATCCTGTTACCTGAGGACAGGATATCAGAATTTATTTAATTGATATTTTCATTCTCTACTCAATTAATGGAAGATGTAGCTTCACTTGACTAATGGACAAGAGGGGATGAATACCTTTGGGACAATATATTTTTATACCGAGTGAAGAACGTGTTTTGGATCAAATGATTGGTCACTGTATGTTTCAAATTCATCGCCCAAGCTTATGAAACTCGATCAATCCGGTTATCAATCGTCGGTAGCTAGTGCAAGATCACAGTCGCCGGCCGCCACCACCACCAATTCTCATCCTCCGGTTTTTTGTGGTGGTTGTTGTTGTTGTTGTTGTTGTTGTTGTTGTTGTTGTTGCTGTTGTTGTTGCATTTGTTGATCGTACCCGCACCCCATCTGCTGAGTTGGGTACGGATACACACCTATTATGGGTTGTGGGTACCAACCACCACCATATTGAATAGGTCCACATGGCAGGTAGTTGCCTGCACCGCCATTACACCCTTGTTGGTACGTCGACATTCCCGGATGATAAGAACCATTATTAACCGAATCATCTTCACCTTTAGATTTTTGGGAACCATCACGAATCTCCCGAAACTGGTGCGAAAAAGTGAGGGTACCTCTTGCTTTTCCCTGAATGAAACGTCGGACTAAGTAATCAACTACATGTTCAGTGTTTGCTGAATCTTGTGTGGTGTCGAGGAGGTCAGAAACTGGAATCGAGACCTCACCAATGTCTTTATCTCCAAATAAACTTCGACATCGGAGGATGAAGAGGAGGGTGCAGGTTGGGATCGCGGAATCTTCGATAGAAAATTTGATACGGTGGCTCCAAGTTGGGTTACAGCCGCCATTGGAGACATGAGTCTTTTTGGTCGATACTATGTTACGGTTGATTAGGGAAACGACAACGTAAACACGCATTCTCGTGAACAAGTTAAGGTTTTTCAAGCCGCTGGCGGAGAGCACGGTGATGTCCAATGAAAAATAGCCCATTTTCGTTGAATTATATCAGAAATCCAATCGTGATGATTTAAATGTTCATATAAATGAAAATTTTATGATCTAGTACAAAATGGATGATATGAGTAGTTAAAAATCAAAATTTTCGTCTGTAATGTGGTGTTATAGGTTTCTTGTTATAAGATGCTCACCGAAACGAGGATAGGCGGTGGTGGTCGGTGACGGTTGACGGTGGCAAAGATGATGAAGGGAAGACCGGTTTCGATTTATTGTGAGAAGCTGAGGAAAGGGAGAAAACATCGGAAGAGAGAGATGGTAGAATAATTTATGGATGGTCATGAGTTAATATAGACGACTAGAAAATATTAATGAGTGAATTACATTGGTGGTCCCTGTATTATGCTTAAATTTTGGATTTGATCCTTAAAACAAACTATCTACATTGATGTGCCATTACTTTTCAATTTCATAACACGCAAGGTCCTTTGAGTTAACATTATCAGTTAGCAACACTTAGAAAGGAACAAATCAGTATTTGGACAAACTACATAACCAAAAGTGTAATTTACTTTTAAAACTAGTTGCAATTCACATGTTTTTAAAAGAAATTATTTATTAAAAATATGTGAGGTACAGTTAACGTGATGAAGTTGTATATTAAAACTTGTTTGTTAGAATAAATTATTGTTTTGTTAAGAAAAATAATTATGTTTAAAACTTAGAATATTATGAAACATTATTAAATTGAATTTTCAAATAATTATGAATAAGCTACAACAACGTTTACATGATAATAAAAAAAAAAATATTAACCTTACTAAAATATTTTTAACGAAAAATCTTTAAAAAAATAAGTGAATCACAACTGATTTTAGAGTGAGTTACACTTTTGGTCCCTATAGTTTTTCTAAGAACTAATTTGTCCCTCTTAACAGTTTCTAACTAACGGTATTAACTCAAAAGATCTTGAGTATTATGAAATTAAAAAGTTAGGGACCATCGGTGTAGATAGTTTCTTTTAGGGAGAAAATCCAAAATTTAAGCATACCACATGAATCACTAGTTTAATTCACTCTGTTACATTAAAATTATAACTTATTTATGGTAAAAAGGGGTTTGAAATCGAATACAAATTATATGTTCTAAGTTCGATTCTTTATTTATTATCCCACTAATCAATTATTTAACGTATCATTAATTTATTTTTAATTCTTTGTTTTAACTATAGTTATGATGTGCTAGAAGTTGACTAACAGAGATGTAAGAGATATGAAGTTTGGAGACATATGATGTGTATGCTTTTAGGGATTGGATTTCGAGTTTCTATTTGGGGCTTCTCCTAAGCGTGTCGAGGTTCGAGTCACTGGTTCTAGTTCCTTGCGTACACGTCTATAAGCTCTCATTACCTCCCTCGTCTTGATGTACGTCATTAACTTCGTGGGAATGGGTCTCTTGACAGGTAGCCGTCCTTGTGTAGAGTAGGCCTGTAGGTAGAGAGAATATGGACCTTGCCACCAGGTATGCAGAGAACTGAACGTTTTGCTCTCCTAGGCCGACTTTAGATGACGAACTCAGACTGCCACCTACGGGGACAACGCCAAATGAATCAGAGAGGATACCAGTCTCAAGAGAGTCGGTTAAAGTCAACGAGTTTTGTTGGTTAGATGATCAGGTCCCGAACTATGACTCGTTCAAATACAGATTTGATTACGCGGCCGACGATGTTAATTTTAACAACCACAACGGTGAATACTTGGCTTTAGACAGTTGTTTGATTATACAAATCTAGGTTTTGGATCGTCCGATTTGTCATTGCGGCCGAATCATTGCCAACACAGTGACATGAGTTTGATAATTATGGCTAATTTGTTAATTAGATATATATTGTAAAGTTATTTCCTTTTTTGATGTTACAAGAATAGACATGGAAAATATGTGGAAATAGTTTTAGTGATGATCGAAGATAGGACATCATACCTCAAACATTGTTGATGATTGACCTTCCTCCTATGATTGGTTTCCAAAATTTCCAAAATTTGTAAGATCTATAATCGATAATCATAAGTTGTTGGCATCTCCAAAATTCGTTACTTGCCTACCACTTTTAGCTTATAATAAGTTCACCTTACTCTCTCACCCTCTGATCCATTCAAATTCTTTTTCACTCTAACAACTTGTTTTTCTAAATCAGATATAAGTTATTCTTTTTCTTTTCTGAGTATTTCTTTTGCTGCTCTCAAACCTTCACTTAAACATTTATAACCACAACTTTCTTCTCAAAATTTTAGCAATAAAGCTATTTCACTCATAAGCCTTTTTTCTAAAACTTCAGCATTCAAGGATTCAATTTCATAATAGAATGAAGTGAGTATCTTAGTATTAGATCTAATGTTTTCCATGTCCTTTGACATCTTTACAATGACTTAAATTAATCACTCAGAAAATATTCTTGAACTGGTTTCGAATAACAGATAAAACCCTTGAAATTTGCAAAAAATCCTAAATACTTGTATATCGCCAACAAGTATACCTTATCGTTCACCAAATTATTAGGAGAAATCGCTCAGCACAGGTTATCGCTCACCAAAGAATCCTCTCTTGCTTTGGGCTATGAGGGATGTTATCGGGTAGCACAGTGGGTGATGAGAATGGTTCTCGGCTAAGCTTTGGACGATGAGAAATGGTTATCGCTCAACACAATGGGCGATGAAGTACAAACCACTATCCGCTCAAGTGTTGGGCGGATTAGAAGATTATTGAGCAAAGCTTTATCCGATGAATAATTCCTTATCGCCTATGCCTTGGGCGATGAAGACCAACATTTAGACAAAAATTTCAACAAGTTGAACAATAACAATCAAACTATACTTTGAGCAATGATCTACCACTTGGGCGATGAACTACTACTTGGGCGATGAACACACTTTATCGTCCAATACTTTGAGCGATTAGGATCCAAAACAAATTCAATGAGCAATGAGAGTATGAATATCGCTCGTTGAATATTCAATGGACTATGAGAAAGTGTTCAACCAGATTCTTCAAGAAACAATGTCAAAATGATCGAAAACTCAAAATTGAATGCTATAACCTGCACAGGTTAGCTCGAAATCAACACAAAAACACTTTCAATGAGTCCAATTGTACCAAAAACAAATCAAAATGGTCTAATTTGATCAAATTGATCAAAACAGATTACAAACTAAAACCAGGAAGTTCCTAACAACATTTTTAAGAATTCAACTTCAATTATATCCAAAACCAATCAAGATCGATTATGTTTGCTCTGATACCAATTGTTAGCCCAGATTTAAGTCATAAACATGATTCAATCAAGAACACATAAATGATGTCGGCAAGTGTATTGATGTAAAGATCAAAGTACAAAGTGTTCTTGAGCTCTCAAATGTCTCACGTATTGATATGCAGTTAACTTCTAACTACCACAACTAACAACCACCTATTTATACCAAGTAACAAACTAGCTTACAAAGCATGTAAACCTACACTATAAAGCAATGTAAAAATATTAAGCACAGAGACTTGAATACAACATTTTAAGGCTCAACAAATATATAAAGGAATCCTATGAAACTTCTGTTGTTACTGGGTTTAACCAAACACTTTACATATTTCTAGCAATTCACTTGGTATCATCAAATGATACAAATATTGGAAAGAGTTATTTAGGTATATGAAAGGAGGGAATGCCTTGGAAATTAAAAAAGTTGATTGACTAAAAATATGACACTTGCCATCCAATTGGATTAAATTGTAATTTTGAAGTTACGTGATACAAATATTTTATTAAAAAATAACACCTTTGACTTTCTATTTGATTAAATATAAAATGTTCAATTAAATCGAATCAATACAATCATAAATATAAATATAAATACAATAAAAAATCAATATTTAAGAAGTGTTGGTCAGAAGGTATTGACATGACATAATGAGAATTTATAATTTTCCCAAAATAATGAATTACAGTTGAGCTTTGTTCATCCCATATTGATGATAAAGTGAAATCTTAAAGGAGATAGTTAAGTATATGAAAGGAGAGATGTTTTGAAATATTGGAAGGGTATTAACAAATATACAATGAAAATTTAGTATTCACAAGTTTTGAGTTGATGTAGCATCATAACTTTTTTATATCTTATTTGGCATGTGTTTTGATCATCGCACAATGCACGATGTTGAACACTAGTGTGTGGCACCACGCGTTGCGCCAGTTGCAAGAGTTTTGTTATAAAATAGATAAATAAATTAATATGAAATGTAATTTGTTAAAGTGACAACAAATAAAATGCAATTTAAAGAAATGAAACGTATAATGAGAAATCTTTTCAAATTGTAGCTCATATTGATCACTCGCGTGATGAGAATCAAATATAACTAAATTTGCACTATATATAAGAAGAGTATGTTATTAATTGTTTAGCAATATATAGTATCCATTAAACATGTATATGAGTAGGGTGTCAATTTTGTACCATGACAAACCAACCAATTCACGTACCAATTTAGTTGGTGGTACCATACCAACTATTTAATATCCGTTGGTACGTGGTATTAGAAGTTCTATACCACGACAATACCGTACCGTATCGTACCGACTTATTTATTTATTTTTTAATTAAAATTTAATTAGTAATACAACATATTTTGATTATACACTTTAAATAGTCTAGTTTCAAATTATGCTAAATAATAATAAGGAAGGATATGTTGAACTTAATTGAATTCATTCGCCTAACCTTTACAACCTTATTAACTCATCCACACCTCTATGGTCCATCGACGCTCCTCAATTGCCATTTGTAGTATACTATTAGTGAATGTGTGTATTATATAAAGATTATTTGAATGCTTATATAGATAGGGATAAGCGGTACAACACATATCAACATGTTATATGAATGCTCGATAGTTTTAGTGCATCTAGATCTAGTTGATAATTAAAGATGTCAATTTAAATAAATTTCTAACTCTAAATTTTCCGATACTAGTACAAAAAACGTACCAACATG